TTGCTGGCGTGTAGTACGGTGTTTTGCGAGTCACATAAAGCAAACAGAACTCGAGTAACGCATACGGTTATTTTTTATAGTTTTTCATTTCTCGATGCATCCTTAATGTGTCGGAATATACCGCCTTTACCCTACCTACACTTTCAGTCCATCATCATCACTGACAAGTCTCTGCAAGCTGCCGGAACTGTTTCATTGAAAAAAAATAGCTTACATCATCACGGTAACAAGGATCCAATCATCGCTTGAACGCGTCCAACGTCACAGTCACATGAATCTAATCATTGCTAGAACGCGTGCAACGTCACAGTCACAATAATCCAATTAGCATCAGAACGTTTCCAACGTCACAGCCACTGGAATTCAATCAGCATTAGATAGGTATGTGCACAAAAAAAAATTTTTCCTTTAATTGTAATGAAAATTACACCACTGAAAAGAGAAAAAATTTAGAAAAATATCATAAGTATGAGTGGAGTAGGTTGAAATATGAAAAAGATATGAATTTTTCCTTTTTTCAATTTCACCCCAAAAATGGACCAACTTCTGTCACTTTTTTTTTGAAAAACTATCATTTGTAGGTTTCCTATGAGCCAATTTCAAAGTTTTTAGTACCATTAGAAAGCTCTTGTTGTAGGCTATCTATTCTAACTAGAATAAAACATTTTGGTTGAGACTTTGACTGCAGGTTGGTGGGGGAAATGGGTGCAACTGCAAGAAATAAATGCTATAACTTAACTTAAAGGCAGAATTGGACGGAATAAATTTCAGTCTCATGGTCTTGTCACCATAATTGAGCTTAAAAATATGAAATTGAATGGAATACACAAATAAAATTTACTAGTAATGATAATATTATTAATTTTTATTAATATTAATTCCTAACTAATTATAATGAATATTGATATTAATAATATTAAATACTGATCATCATCATGTCACGTCTCATCTTGTCTTGTTGTAGGCGGAGAGGTTTCAACTAGTATATCTGACTCCGCTCAACATTTCATCTCTGGCTTGGTTTAGCCATGGGGTGAAGGAAAATGAAACACGGAGTGTGACTGACAAGAAAATATAAACACAAAAGAAATGAAGCATACAAAGGTAAACAAAGAAAAGGAAAAAGGGTGCATAAGTGACAGACTTTCAAAGGGTCTTGCCCAAACCAAGAACCCTGAAATAACACGATAAATTAGCTTGTATAAAAAGGTAAATTAAAGAACCTTGAAAAAACCATCATTAGCGCAATCATTATAAACAAATATACTCATTAACTGATGGACTAGCATTTAAATGCAGAGCAAGATTAAATAACATGATCAAAACAATATAAGTACCAAAACTATTAATCAAGCAAGTGGTATATCATATTATATATCCATCAGACTTAGGTTAATCACGGACAAAGCTTTGATGGTCATCAGCCAAACCAACGCATGTCTTCTCATGTCTCGTCTCATCTCATGTCTCGTCTCATCTCATGTCTCGTCTCATCTCATGTCTCGTCTCATCTCATGTCTTGTCTCATCTCATGTCTCGTCTCATGTCTCATCTAATGAGATGAGACATGCCATTTTTTTAATGAGATAGGCAAATTCCGTCAATTACATTTTCAAGCCGACACTGGGTGCAACTTTTATGTCAGTAAAATTTTTTAATACTGCAATTATTTTTTTGCTCCAGAACTTAGCAAACGTACTTTTCCAAAATCCCACTTTTCACACTTTTTTCAGCGATTTTTTAGAGATGGTAAATGTTTGATTTCTTGACTAGCTTTATACATAATAGATAGTAAAAATGTTGAAGTTTACTCCACTATTTTTAGTTTTGCAATATTTTGATTAGTTAAGCTGCTACAACATTTCTACGAAATGTGGGACGCGCATCCCGATTTACCCCGCCCGTACCTTTTTACCCCTTTTGACAGTAGTTTTATATTTTTAGATAAAACATGATTTCAACTAATGCACTTGCAACTCGTGTATAGAAAGAAAGTTTCAAAAGAATAAGAACTATACGTTACATGAAATTAAAACAATGTTTCTGCTTGAAAATATGTACCAGCAGCCCTGCCACCTCAATTGGATTGTACCTAGATGAGTTATGATTGTTACCATTATTAAAAAATTACAAGCTATTTTTTTCTAAAATGGTCAACAATTTTTTGACACTTGTCCTATGTCACTTTCAGAAAATAAGTCTGTGAAAATTCATTGCAAATGGTCTAAGACTGAGTAAAAAATTTGATTAGACAAGATACAGTACGGTATATATGTATACAAACTTATTGTTATAGAATTTTTTATTTTTATGAATAGTAAGCTAGGAATGGGATTGAGTCAGAACTAGGCAAATTTATTTTAAGTATATTTTTAACCTGCTCATTAGATGGACCAGTTCAGTTTGGACTGCCCTTAATTTTGCTATTCAAATTTCAAATGTTCTAATTATAATAGAGAAACAATTCTGCTAAGTCATGAGATGGGTATGTAGGTACTATTTGCTTTTAACTGTCAACCATGTTTGCTTAAAAATAAGCACTAAATCCCTAAAATTTCACCAGTTTTTAGTAAAATACATGGCTGTAATTACCAAGCATAATTAATTTATGGCCTACACTTGTGGCAAAATCAAATTTTGATGTCCTCTCATTTTGTGCAGACTGCAGCTGGAGATAAATTATTCAAATTTTATAAGAAATTATCCATGGGCTTCACACTGAATAAATTTTCAGAGAGGACACTTCTTGCTTCTAAGCCACAGAACAGATATATTAGAGTCTCAAATTTTCTGCTTTGCTATTGTGCATGAAATAAGACTTAATATCATAAAAAAAGGCATTGGTATTCAAATTATATAAGATTTACATACAGCTACTAGTTATCAAATATGGTAATCAAGCCATAAATGTTCCTGTAACGCTGGAAGTTGTCATATTACAACCCTAAAGTCTGCTGAAAAATTTATTGATATTGATGGAAGATAAAACTATGAACTAAACACACTTTAATTTATAATTGTGATATTGCCATCAAATTTAACATATACGGGTGAACCAGAATTAAGTAACCCTTTTAATTTGTTAATAAATAAAAAACTAAGAACGTTATGAAGTTGAAACTTGTTTTATTTAAAAGAAGAACATTTTTATGGTAATATTGTATCATAGTTACGTCATTATCCTGTAAAGCTTGCTAAATTTGTGTTTAATTATCAAGCCTTAAATTTTCATCATGATTCGCTACAGCAAAGAAGAAAGAACAAAAATTCTGCAAACCTACATCAGGACGATGTCAATAACAGAAGTTCAACGTGATTACAGGATCCATTTCAAAACAAGAATCAGTCCTTCAAAAAAAAAAAAACAATTAAATCTCTTTATCAAAAATTTGCGGATACCGGGAAATTACTAATGAAGATTATGAAAGCAACAAAGAGAAGAGCCCTATTTTGTCAAAACAATTGCGGTGGGCATTTAAAATATATTATATTTAAAAACTAGGATACAATATTACCATAAAAATGTTCTTCTTTTAAATAAAACAAGTTTCAACTTCATAACGTTCTTAGTTTTTTATTTATTAACAAATTAAAAGGGTTACTTAATTCTGGTTCACCCTGTATAAGCCTTGAAAGGTTAAAAAAAAAATTGAAAAATTACCCTGAATTTGGTTGCAAAATATTTATGTGAAATTTGAAATCTTTGCAATATATGAAATTCAATAATGTTGTATGCTTGTTATCAGTAGTTGACTATAATTATTTGTTGATCATTTCAGTGAGTGTTTCTCACAATATTTTCTTTTTCAGGAAAGTTATGGACAATACTGTTAGCAGCAATTTAACCTTGCATGCTGCTTCTAAACAAAAGAAAAATGGCAATAGTTGTTTGGCTGACCGCATGCATGTATGCGGTTATTGCTCCAGAGCTTTTACACGCTCTGATAAGCTCAAAATGCACCTCAGAATCCACACTGGAGAACGACCATATCATTGTTTCTGCAGCAAGACCTTCACACGTCAGGACAAATTTAAGCAACACTTGAATATTCACCCGCTTGTGGAAATATTGGAACAAAAGGATAATATTGTTGCTCCAAAACATGATGCTTTGATTCTTAAAATTGTCAGGCAAGCTCAGTCAATGGTGCCCCCATGTTCTGAAAGTAGTCTCAATAACTTTACCAAGAAAATAGAGTGGCTAAAAAGTACTGCAATTGAAGCAAAGAAACGACCTAGTTCATCCATCAAGAATGAATCACTGGCAAAACAAGTGCAATTACCAAATAAATGCACACAACCAAATGCATCCTTGAAAGTTGCTAAGGTGACTAATTCTAGTTTGCATTCTAAATTGCTTGAAATGGACAACATGTCCTCTACTTCATTTGTGAAAGAAATTATATCTTGTGAAAAATGTGACTGTTCATTTGAATCTGAAAGGGCATATGTGAGTCACATGAAATCCCACAGTAGAAATGAAGTTTTCAAATGTTTTTGTGGAAGAGAATTCAGAAGTTTGCGTTGGTTGGACAACCACAAACAGCGAGAAGGTTGTCTAAACCTCAAAGTTGATTCAATTCAAGTTTCCAACAGTGAATCAAGTGGATCTCTCAGTGTGTCATCAGGAACGTCACTTCTCTCTAAATCTGATGACTGCTGTGTTGCTGAAGAGCAATCGCCTGAAGAATATATAAGGGTTGGTGAAAGTCCAAATGCTGCACACATCACTTCTGAAAGAGACCAGACTTTCCTGCAGCATCATCTACAGCCAGTTGCAATGATGAAGAGTCTCCAACAAAGCCTGAAGGAGATAAATCAATCTGAACAAACTTTGAATTCCAATGAAAGCTCCAACTCACCCTTACAATCTGACAAAACAGTTTCAGTTTTATGTTTGAATGAAAATAAAATAAAAGTTAAAAATTCTGTTGGCTCTGATAATATGATTGAGGATGATAGCTGTGAACAGTCACTGCTTGATCTGATATTAAAGTTGAAAAAGCAAGATCCAGAGCTAACTGTAAGTGCAAATAAAAAGTTTTCCTGTGATTACTGCTTTAAAACATTCAGCAAAAAGCACAAAATGCAGATTCACCGTCGAATGCATACCGGAGAAAAGCCATATTGTTGCACGCTGTGTGGCAAAGCCTTTTCACGAAAAGACCACATGATCAAGCACATGAATGTTCACTATAAATACAGACGGCAAGTAGAACCAGACATGGAATCGTCTGCTTCGGTTGATTTTGTTTGCAATGACCGAGGCGTAAGTGGTGATCTTCCTGTGCAGTCTGCTTTGTATGGAGTTTCTATCATGCAAGAGCAGCAGTCGGAGCTGCAGACCAAGCTGGCTGCACTCTCTGCACTGGCTAAAGCCTTTGAGATACAAAACAAGGAGCGTAGCCAAGCATGTATGAAAAGCATGGAATTGTCAGGTGAAAACCTAATTAATAATCACTCTCCCTGTTCTGGTTTTAATAGAAATTCTCAAGAAGATTTCGGTTATAATAATCATGTGAATGCGGACGCTAAAGACACTAATTTAGTGTTATATTCAAATACAAAAATCGAGAGCGTGTCTGATGGGAAATACCAGTGCAGAATGTGCAATAAGAGCTATCATAAAGCTCGTGTATTTCTGTCTCACTCTCAACTTGAACATAAAGTGCATGGCAACAGCAAGTTTACATGCAGTATATGTGAGCGCGAGGTGTGGACCAGACGGCGCTTTGAAATGCACGTTCTTGCTCACAGCGACTCTGATGATGAGTCTCCTCTTATAATTAGAAGAAGGAAAAAGAGAAATGAATCCAGAAAAAGCTCAGTAGCTGACAGGCTGTCCAGTACTTCTCTAAATTTTCCCGATACTGATTGCAAAAATTCTAGTGATTTCAAAGATTTTGACATAAAAAATGCCCTTCATTGTTTCGGTGGCGGAGGTGGTCTAGGTCCAAGTTGGAATGGCGAAATCTTGCGTGATCTCCTACATCGTGTGAGCTTCACGGAACAAGTTCGATTAGATTCGATATTTTCTGGTGGTAGCCCTGATACGTTGCCTCTTGAGACGAATGTGACATCGGCTCATGATGACTTTAGCTCCTTGACTACTGACGAAGGATCGTGGCCTGCTGACTCCGGATCCTTGCCTGCTGATGCCGGATCCTTACCTGCTGACGCCGACTCCTTGCCTGCTGACGCTGACTCCTTGCCTGCTGACGCCGACTCCTTGTCTACTGACGCCGGATCCTTGCCTGCTGGCGCCGACTCCTTGCCTGCTGACGCCGACTCCTTGCCTGCTGACGCCGACTCCTTGTCTACTGACGCCGGATCCTTGCCTGCTGATACCGAAAGCGACTCTGGGCCTACCGACGGCACATACGCCTTCCCTGCAGATAGTCCCAGTTGCACATCGCCTCGCGATGGAGCCGTGCTTGCAGCCACTGGTAGCAGTTCTGTAAACATTTCTGGCTCTCGTACCACTGAAGAAGATGAACATATAGAAAATAGCAATGACACCATTCCAATGAGCACCCCATTTCCAAAAGCATTTTCGATAGTGAGTTGTAACCGAAACATCGAACAAATACTCGAAAATCATAGTCTTTTGGATCGTCTTCTTCATGAACCGCATGTTGCGGGTGATGCTCCCGAGTGTGCCGACACCCTGATGAGAGTAGAGGATTACCTTGCAATTCTGAGGGCTCCTGAAAACCTTGCGACTGACGCCAAAATCGCGGCGGCAAAAGATGACGTTTAGATTATCTTGATCCGGCTCGATTATTTCACGAATTTTCACGTGAGAATATATATGTTATCTTTCGTGACTTAACCTACTTATTTAGCGATGCGAATAATTTAAAACCTATTATTGTTGTTGTCTAAAAAATTATATAATTTTGAAAAATAGTAATTTCTTTCCATATTATTCGTTTTTAGCTGGTCTTGATGTAATATCCGTACGAACGAAGTTAATGCAACATCGGACTAGTCGACCCCTGCCATGTAGGCAGCGCCTGCGACTAATGCCATCTAATTGAACTAAGCTGCGTGCAAGGACTTCTAAGACTTGTTTTTATTCATTTAATAAATGACCGATTCTGCTCAGCATTAGTCTTAAATTTTAAATCAACTATTGTATTCCATTCAAACAAAATTTATGCTATGAATTGATCGCAAAAAATGTTTTATTTTAATTTCTATAATTTTAAAGAATTGATGTTCAATTTTATATTGAAGCTGAGTGAAGACTACTATAAGATGAAGATAAGTGGTAGCTGTTTTAGTATATTCATTGGGTCTTTCGCATTATTAACTTTATCTCTAATAATTTCCTCTAGCGCTTAACATATATTACGCACCCTTCACTTACTGCAATCATAGCAGCATTGAGAAAATTAGTTGCATGGAGACCTGACGTGAGCGTTCTCGTTTGTATCCAATACAATTGTGAAGCCGGTGCCTTGAAAATGACATGGAAAGCAGGCTCGACTCGTCAGTTCCTATAAGATTTCAAACATCGCTCTTTGTCTAGACCAAACTGGGTCAGGATGACCCACACTAAGGCAAGAAGCGCGTCACTATTTGTACTAAGTTTCACTGCTTCCTCTGAGTGTCGGGACATTGTTCCTGAGCGTCCACCCTAGTGGGCCTCAGTTACGCATGCAGGTGAAGTCGAGCTCGCGCGGCCAGTCGACGTCTCGTATCAACATATTCGTTTCTGTTACTGTTAACCTGTGTTTGTTTTATTTTGTTCCTGTTATTGTTAGCCAGTATCTTAATTCCTGTTGTTGTACCCTCTTCTGTATGCTTGTGCCGTTCTATTCTCGCCAGTTTCAGTGCTTAACTACAAATAAGAAGCAATTTAATTTAACTACAAATAAAATTTCGGCGGCTGAATCTTCTAAAAGAAAGTCCTATACGTAGACGTGTTGTTATAGTCTTGAAAGAATATTTTTTTTTTCAACAATACATTTTTACCGATAGATACTGTCGAAAACATTTTATTTCTGATAGTATAAATTATCTTAGTGAATTGTTAGCCGAAAATTTTATGAAGCTATTTTATGTGTAGTAAGAAATAATGTGTCTCAAAGCCAAGCTGGTCCTACTAGTATATATGTTCGCATTCCTTGATGCATGTTCTGCACTACGACTTCCTATAGGATCCATGCTAGCTATAGGATCCATGCTATCTATAGGATCCATGCTAGCTATAGGATCCATGCTAGCTATAGGATCCATGCTATCTATGGGATCCATGCTAGAACTGCCCTCCGAAGACATATTACAAAAGCTGCACTTAATTACATTAAGTAAATATTGTATCTCATGTTTCACTCACGTGTCTTAGTCGTATATAATGTTGGGTGTTATTTGTGTTCACAAATATGTCTGTGACCACTTTATCGTGTACATGTTTACAATCTACTCGTGGTAGGAAGAGAATTTTTACTTATTTCACAGTGTTGATTTTAGGCAATATCAGTGCACCTATTTTTGAAATTCGTCACATTTATAGTCATAACCAGTGAATGAATTAGTAATTTCACATCAACTGCTACATTTCCGATCATAAGTTCCAAACAGTTAACATGTACTTATGTTTTTTGACTGATAACACTTCAACGGCGACATATCGTAAGCGCCGCTCACAAGAGACGTCGCACAATCTTCGCAGCTTCCCGGGTTCGAACCCCGCGACTCGCTGTTCTCATCTTGTTGCCGCTTGACTACTCGACCGCCGATGCAGGGCGCAGTTTTTCTTAAACTTGAATACGTCTTCACATTCAGCTTGGTCCCTGATCTCAGTATGCATGGAAATGCAACTTGATAATCCGGCTTATTTTTTAAATTTAGTCATTGTTAATACTGGCTAATAATATTCACGCTGTATTTGAGTCATTTGCCCATGCCATGTGTAGTTCATAAGTTAGTCTGCATCTTGTGTTTTTGTTGTATAAACGGATAGAATTTATGGTCTATATTCCTACGACAGCCGATAGAAAGGAGTAAAGGAATTTGGTCATCCTTTTCTATTTTACATGTCAACCACTTTAGCAGATGTTGAAGAAATTTAGCATATCATTTTAAAGTTATGCTCATGAATTTCGGCCGTAATCCCACAGGACAATTTCCGAACTGAATTCTATCTGTTGCATTGCATCGACTAAACATGCAGCTGTATTTGACGGCCATGATTTTATTATCTGAGCAATTTACATTTATCGTCTTTACAATATTGTTATAATTTTTGCTTACCGCTTGTCTTCTCTGTACACACTTGTACGACGACAGAATAGTTGCTAGAATTTTGGCTATAAAATTCATCATTTGTGTTGTATCGAGTTTCTTTAAATCTTTGTTACCGTTTCCGAGTTGTATTTTATGTTTAAGTAAAAAATTTTACAGTCTTAAGCTTCATTAGAATAACGAAGGACGGTCATTCTTTGCAAAGAAACATTCCTGTTATTTACGCATGCATTCCGCTGCACATACATTCAAGCGAGGACTTATTTTCTCATGCATGAAATTTATGCGTTTTTTTACGACAAGTAAAATTATGATGTTCAAGAAAAGGAGTGTCCGTTTGTGTCCTTATATTATAAAAATACTATTAGGTTTGTATTTTATAAGCTTTATCCTCTCACAAGACAGTAACTAAGAAATGACATGTTGCCATTATTTTGTGCCACTACGAAGCTTTTTCATCATAAAGAAAGACATTTGTCCAGTCATTAAATGTCTCGTGTAAACTGCCGAAGTTATGACGCTAAGCCTATACCATTTATACATTTCACGATAATAAATGTAAAGTCATTATTAGTATACGATCTGTAGCTTAGAATTGCGCTTTGCCATTCTCTGACTCTTTGAAATATAACATCTGAGAATTTCAGAAGTTGGAAGGCATGTGTACCGACACGTGTGTCTTGCCAAGCCTTTTAATTACACTTATTTACCAAACTAATGAGGCTGGCTTTATTTTGGTGACGTACGTTTGAGCAAACGTAGTCAGCGTTTTAATGGATATGTTAATATCAGACAAGATAAGATCATTCGAAATGTGCTTGAACATTGGACTTGAATAAGCTATTTAGAGATTGACTTGCTACTGGAAACCAACCGACACCTAAAAAGAAAAGTCACCACCTAACGCCTTACATGTTGAGCTGACTGTTTACAACTTGCGTGCAGGCTAGCATTATCACATAAAATACTTATAACATCTACTGTATCTTAGTGTTCTAGTTATTAAGTGCCTTACCTTTATTCTATTTCCTTTTCTCTCTGTGCAAATTTTTCAATAACTATTAATAATTTTTAAATTCAAGTGTTATTGATGCCCAAACGCAGCGTCTTCAAGCCTGTGTTGAAAAGCTACTAAGAGGCGATTTGCTGATCTGAACATTAAACGTTTCGAGTCGTGCTTAGGAGGCCAACTTATTGATTAACAAGATCGAGTTACAACATTCATTGTTAAACTTCTTGTTGTGATAACTGCAGTTACCGGATATATTAGCGATGTACGAGTATTAGAAACGCGCAAGTTTATTTTGTGTTCAGTATGCGTGAGTTGGTTGGATGGATCACAAAGCGTCGATATATCTCAATCATTCCAAGCCTCGACGAAGTGCCGTTTGTTCAGGTAGCCATAGACCGGAAATTTTTTAAATAGCAGGTTTGCCTCCGACAATAAAATATTTAGTTTGTAATAGTTTTCAATTGCGAATAAAACCCTTTCGTAATGTGAAATGAGCGCCCGGGTCACTATCAAGATAAGGGTGCATCCGATCACAACTCTCAAATATTACTCGATTATTGACAAAACTTTCGGGCACAATACCGGAGCAAGGTGTACGTTGATCGCGTAACTTCTCTTGCCACCAGCCCATAGACAATATATTGTGGTACTGAAACGTTGTCATATAAACTTGATTGATTAATAAAATTTTTCTATTGATTTGTTATTCTGAGATCAAATAATTAATGTTATACAAAAGCTTACTTCAATAAAGTGTTCGATATTTCAAGTGTTTTCTTCCTCTTCATATCAGATGCTGAGAATCGGTTCATTCCTAACAGGCGTCAAGGATGGCTTAACAGGCAAGGATAAGTAAGTGAGAAAATGCCAGTCAGATTATCTTAGAAATAATACGCAGAATTCAGACATAATAAATAAGTGTAAAAATCGGACTCAGATCATCTTTTTAAAATTCTGAGACCTGTACTGTACAACCATGATAACTACCTTCAGGTTGGTTTAAGAATAACGACCTTCTGGCTGTACTTGAGAAAAAATCAACACGCGGCGATAAATCTTGGTTAGATGAAATGAACGTCGGTGTCGGCATTGAATACTTATCCAACTTTGAATAAATATTGACTCTAAAGCTTTGAAAATAAGGTGCTCAGAGAGATTGATAACGCAGGTGTGGCCCGGGTACTAGTAGTGCACTAGTTGTGGGCAAGTCCTGCAATGTGGCCCACTAGCTAATCTACTAGTAAACCTAGATTTACATTGAAGGCTGGAAACCTCTAAATAGACGAGAATACACTGAAAATTTGTCTCTAGATTGGCGGAAAAAATTTTAATTCAATTTATAATCATGAGTCCAGATTCCGATATTTGTGTGTTATGCTACTCAAACACAAGTACAAGTTCATAACCTAGACACTGCACATGTATTTCTCAGAAGCTATTTATCAAGTGGATGAAGTGTGTAAGTCATAATCATGTCCAGCTCATATGAAAATTCATAAACCATGTCTACATTCCCAAATGATGGGAATATTTTAATGAAAACCCGATTTTCAATCATACTTGGCCAGAAATTTAAGAAGTCGACCAGCTATAAGAGTTGTTTTCTGATGCACTAGAATTTATACGAAATTTTACCACAAGAACACCGCGATTGCTTGCAGTTGGAATTGGCATAAACCATAGGTCGGAGCCAGATGACAAGTCTGTCCCCCGGCGGGAGAAGAGCTCAAACAGAAAAATGTCGTCAGACGATGATCACGAGGCACTTCGTCCCACGCTGAGATCGTCAACATGGCAGTAGTAGCGGGAGAAAAGCTCGAACAGGAAGATGTCGTCAGACGATGATCACGCGGCACTATCAGACGATGATCACGCGGCACTTCGTCCCACGCTGAGATCGTCAACATGGCAGTAGTAGCGGGAGAAAAGCTCGAACAAGAAGATGTCATCAGTAATGCCGCTCACGACCGTCAATATCTGGTCCTGCTGCTTCAGCCACTTGGTCACAGCAGTGCGCTCGGCGTCAGTCAACATTTCTTCGATCTGAATATAAATATATAATATATTTCAAAATATAAAACACAGCCATATAAATATATATATCATATACGTAACACTACGAGTTAATGTCAATAGAAACTTTTTATTAGAGAAACAGAAATTTCAGTGAATCTTATCCCTACCACGCCCACTGTAACGCTGAGCTACAGTTCTCAAAAATAAATCACCTCCTAACAGTGCAAGGATCAATAGTTTGCCAGGCGATAGTTGTTATCATATAACATCGGACATCCTTGGTGCTGCATCTTATTTCAAATAAGAACCAAGGATATCGCTGTTTTGACGGCCACATCACATCGTCCTCTATAGAATTTATACACTATCGAAATTTATGGATTCCATTTATAACCTTCTAGAACACATGCAAAATTATTAACCTTCCTGTAGTCTTCCGACCTGCATAAATCGGAAATGAAAACAACAGAAGGGTTAAGCATAAAATGAATGTAAAAATTTCAAAAATTGAAAGAACAATAGATTAAAACAGTAGCATCTCACATCTTGAATCTGTTCCTGCGTGGCCCCAGACTTGACGATGTTGTCGACGATGGCATCAACGCGCGTCTTCTTCTCCATGAGGCTACGGTTCTTCTCAGTGAGCAGCTCGCGCTTGCGCAGCAGGTTGTACAGTTCAGTGAAGCACTGCGATGCCGTCAGCCGCACTACCTGACAATTTAAACCTTATGAATGCAATTTATGCTTAACACGTTGACTACGATTGCTTCATCTTGTACTATTATTTCATTTTTTGTACAGGGTTGCCAGACGGTGATTTTTCCGGACACATTCCGTGATTTAGTTTTTCTCAATTGCGTTGGCCGGCTAAAATTAATGATAGGGGTACTTCCTAATTAAATTTTAAATACTGCAAAAAGAAAATAAATTGAATTTTTATAGCGGAACCTACAAATAAACTAGTATATATTGAGTTATTGGCCTTTTTTGGCCTTATTTCTTCTCGGATTTGGCCGATTTTAGGCAACCTGAATTATGACAACTACGTCCTGGAGAAATACATTTCGTGGTACGCATATGTACCACTTCGTAGTCAACGTGTTAAGTAAAATAGGTGTGCGATCGTGGCTGGAAAATACTGGTCTCAAGTTAACTGGTCGAGTGCGTTCCTAAACTTTTTAAAAAGGAAAATCACAATAAAAATTTATAACGTTTCATATGAACATGTTTCGCACACCAGCTCCACCATACTGTAGTTGCATGCAGGAGTATAATCGATCGGGACAACTAAATTTGTAGAGTAGACACAAAACCTGTATGGTCACAACTTTCACATTTCTCTTTTAATAAATTCTCAGCAAGTTTGAGTTTTCCAACATCAAGTAATTTTACTGCAATACTTTTCATGGGAACCACGGGACAATTAAACGTTTAATGCAAACCTCAAGAAAATTGACTTTGAAGAAGAGAAGCTCGGGCGTGTGAGATGAGGGCATGGAGGCCTTCCTGAGGTCGTGCACGAGGAGGATCTGGTTGAGGAAGAGCATGTTGCTCACTTGGTCAGCTTCCTTCTTGTCCAGTAAACAGGCAGATGCTATCATGTCGGCACTCACTATGTGATTCCTCATCACTAATCTGGGGAACACAAGAGAAAATGAGAATAATATAAGATATAAATAAGAAGATAATGAGCATAAGAGAAAATTAATTCAATTCATCAGAAGCAGTTTCACAGATAAAACACTTTCTTAGTAATTTAGCAAGTACTCGTATCACAGCATCTTCTCACCTGAACACTCTGGCACCTCAGCAGCAACACAGCACCTCTCACCTGAGCACTCTGGCACCTCAGCAGCAACACATCACCTCTCACCTGTACACCCTGGCACCTCAGCAGCAACACAGCACCTCTCACCTATACACTCTGGCACCTCAGCAGCAACACAGCACCTCTCACCTATACACTCTGGCACTCTCTCACCTGAACACTCTGGCACCTCAGCAGCAACACAGCACCTCTCACCTGAGCACTCTGGCACCTCAGCAAGCAACACAGCACCTCTCACCTGTACACCCTGGCACCTCAGCAGCAACACAGCACCTCTCACCTGAACACTCCGGCACCTCAGCAGCAACACAGCAACCCTAACCTGAACACTCTGGCGGCTTTGGACCCAAACATTTCCTTTATTCTCTTAGCGAGGAACTCTGCGGTGATGTGAGCCACCAGCTGCGCGACCTCGATCTGGTATTCGCCTCCTCCGCCGCCCACACCGATGCGCCGCACGCAACCACCGCTCTCGCCTTCACCTGCCCACCACAAACACATGCAATACAGTGAGACCTTACCCATACTTAAGGTCATCAGCCGAAGCTCTTTACCAGCTATTTTCACTTGTAGAATTTTCGATGGGTGAGCAAAGTGAAAAACTTAAAGCTACCATAAAAAAAGAATGAATAAGCAATATAGTGTACATTTTCACAGAAATCAATTTTTTTTATTGTCACAGTATGCAGATTGAGTAATCTATATTTAGAATAATAACGAAGATAATGATAAGGTTTCCTAAACAATTCATGTAAAATTACATTAATGATCTTGTAACAACTACATATATACGATATAATTGTGTGCTATTCATCAATTGATCATATCACTTCTTTCGGGTATTGCAATAAAAGATTTCTCCATCTTCAATCACCATATAAACACACGGCTCTAAAAAGTCGCTGCATCCACACAAAATCACCGTTACGCGTCTACTTTTTCTAGTCCATCTCTATTAGAAGTATAGCGATGTTGTTTGTATCAGTTGTGTAGGGCTGACAAGCCTTAGCTCATCATTCGTGCATGTAACTCTACTGAATATAGTCTTGACATCGTCCTTCACCACTCGCACCGTGCCCATTACCCTGGACTATGAATGAATGTTAAAAGAGAACGTAAGGATCACCTAGAAGCTGGAGACAATGTTCGAGGTGAGGCGCGCTGTTGAGGGCGTGTTTGACGTGCGCTGCAGTGGTGTAGACGCCGGACTGCCATTTGTCCTCTACGGTGCTATAGGCAACCTGCAGCAGGCCTCTGAACACCAGACCCACTTCTGCACCCACGTTCTTCTCTACACTCGTTACTAGTAGCGTGTCTCTGAAACACAGCAACGTTATGAGCTCTTTTATTCTTGTAACAAGTATAGGTTCAGAACATCTATTCGCCTTCTTATCACGAGAAGAAGCAATTGTTATCTTTTCATTTCCAAGAGTTCTTAACATATTCTCGGTTTGTATCAACCATGCCGTCTTGACTACTTCATACAAGGTTCATGAGTCATATTAATACCATGCATCATGGTTTAAAGTTAAGGGCTTATACCACAAAATTCCTTAACTTAATACACGCTAATGCCTTCATCTAATTGCGCTTTGATACAGAAGATGAAAAATAAGAAAAAGCAAACCTCCACTGAAGATGGAAAGCATCATAATTAAGTCTCCAATATATCTTCCCGTCAGGAAAAGAAGAGGCATCGGGAAGTATGGCTCCTGATGAACTAGAAGATGTCTCAACATTTTCAGTAACAGCTTGAGCTATCAACTGAAGATTCAAATGATCATCGGGGAGAAACCTGGAACAAAAATTCCGGTAATCACAATGGAAGGATAAAATATTTCAATTTATATTGCAGCCTGGCCAATTTCTAGATTTTTATATGAGAATCAAGTTCATAATTTAGCGATATAGACAAAAACTTGATCAACACAAATCAGTAAACAATTGCATGAATTTCTTTCACAAGAAATCCAGTTGAATATATCATTTTAATGTATTATTTAAAGATGTTGAGTTCAGTGTTATCTAAGCAAGACAAATAATGAAATATTCCAGAGAAATTATGAGCTTCTTTCTTCTTTCATTACAAACTAACAAACATTGAGAAATGGTGAGCATTTTGAATAAATTCCGACTGTGATCGTTGAGTTCCAAATAAGGCAGGCAAGAAAGCACCCATGATGCAGAACTCACAGCATTCATATGCTTTCTGTCACTTAGTGATGTCAAGTACCTTAAATTTCTCAGCTCAGATAAGCTCCATTATTCCAGTTACTTCAATAATATTGGATGCAAGGGTACAAAATTAATAATCTGAACTTATTACGGAGTTCATTGTACACTCTACAGTCATTTTACACTAAACTATAATTGAACAGAAAACTATCGTTGTACACTAAGCTATCATTGAACACTAAACTATAATTGAACAGTAAAATATCACTAAACACTAAACTGTCATTGAACATTGAACTATCAAAGAACACTAAGCTATCATCGTACATTAAACTTTCATTGTAGATTAAACTTTCATTGTAGATTAAACTTTCATTGTACACTAAATTTCATTGTACACTAAACTATCGTCATCACTAGACTATGTTTGCATGCCTGTGCTTGTCATCGCTGGAAGGCTTAACAAGTAGCGGACAGCACGGAGGAGCGGGCGACGAAGGAGATGCACAGCGCTCCAGGTAGCCCAGCTCTATGAGTTGCCGCAGCGCATCACGAACAATGATGTGGCGATCACCAGGGTTCTGGTTAGCCCTATCTATTGGTTGGACATATAACACGAATTCAGAGTACAGGAATTTGCTTATGAACAAATTATAAACAAAACATTGCTACAACTTTATTTAATAATAATATATGAATTTGTATTTCAAAATTAATTGTGATGAATCATTGTGACCAATGAAGAGTCCATGTATTATAGAGTAATTGTGAGCATACAGTTTGTAAATAAGTAATTAACAACTGATGTACTGCAACAACATTACAAGCTTTCAATGGATCATTACAAACTATAAAAGACCTGGTGGAATCAACTAGCAGGCAGATGAAGTAAAATAAACTTGCATAAGTAAACTAAACACAGAAGCTTTCTTTTGAATAAAATTCTATACTATATTACAGTTAATAGCATTTAACAAGGCACTGCCTAATTTTTCATCTCACATGACAACAAAAAATTTTTTTTATATTTTCTTGTCAACATGACAGGACCCACCAACAGCAGAGGATAAGTCAGTCATGAGGAGCTTGCATGTGGTGCACACTATGACCTGTGATGCAGTGATGCTCCCTTCCTCCAACACCCGCTCCACCACAAGCTCTGCTGCCACTCCCAGCTTCTCCCGTACATGGTGGATGTATCTGAACAGGGAAATGAGATTATCAACTTGTCAAGGTCTGGAAGCTTTCTCTACACTTCATTTATCAGACAGGTCACCAAGTCTTCAAAAGCTTAACTGAGCATGGATGAAATGCATAGAAAAACTGCTACCTAAATTAAACAAATTTCATGGTCGTAAATGGAGGAAACCACACAGTCATACCACAACCTTCAACTCCATTACAAATAAAATAAGCCTAAGTACCATTGGTGTTCTCTTGAATAGACCAGAATTATGTTGCAAGCCTCCTTCAAATCTTTGCTAAGTATAATGACACCACTTTTCACTATTGTCATACAAATGTAATTATTTAACATAGTTATTTTTAGGGGTATTTAAACTCATAACAAGCAAATATTTTATGATGTGCACTATCAACAGAACATGAAATACATGTTTAAGGAAGATAAATAAATTATTTATTTGCTGAGTAGTAATAGGGTATGGTATTCTCTATGAATGGTCATATTTAGTGATATATATTAACATACCTACAATGTTCTTTTAGCAAATAATAAATTATATTGTAATTGTAAGAGATTTCAATCATTATCTAGAAATAATAAAACATGATTTTGATGAATATAAACACAAATGAACTATCCAATGATTTGTTATAACTTAAAATTTAACACATGAATACTTCTGAAAAACTGGCAAAGCAAACTATTCACAATATATTGATGTTTACTCAATGAAGTTCAGAACATATTTATATTTGTTCAATGAAACTACTATTTACTACTATTACTAAACTACTACTATTTACTACTATTATATTTGTTCAATGAAACAACTACCATGACTTACTTGTTCTTTCTAAGCAAGTAGAAAATGTTGGCCTTGTTCAGGCGGTAATGAACTTGCCGCTGGGGTGTATATTCAAATGATGCCAGATTGTGTTGTATCAGTGAGACTAAAGCTTGTAAAACCTGCCAAAAAAACACATAAAAGGTCTCTTTGAAGCAGATATAGTGGAATATTTTATACTAGGCATGTAATGAATTCTTGTGTTTAGTAAATACCTTGCCAATTGAACAATTCAAGGGTACATTCATCTAAATGGAAATTTAATCAAATCATGATTTAACCATAACCACAATGTACATATTTCTAATTTTATAAAAACAAAGAAACAATTGAACAGCAAACAAATTATGCAGATAAGATACTAATAAATTTTTAAATTCAAATTACCTACAATACATTTCCAACTCTGAAAAAATATTTTCCAAATCATAACACCAGGTCTTAGTCTATAACAAAAATCCTGATGATTTCTCACTAAATATGATTACAAAAATGCAATGAAAACAAAAACTGAACTTGTATTGATATACCTGTTTAGAGGGCAGATGTGTCAGACGAGTTATGCTCTGAAGAGACTCGCCACTGGAGCGGTACAAAGCCTTAACAACTGATGCTACTATGGAGTCAAAAAATGTTTCAACAATTTTACTTGCAGTTCTTTCAAATGCAATTGAGTTGAATAAATTAAATATCACAGACATTTTATAATATTTAAGCTTAATAAATAAAAACTGTAATGAAGCAGAGAGCGTAAGCTATAATTAGTAATTAAAAGTAATAAATTTAACTCAACCACTCATCAACAGATGCATTTGAATGCTTTTTGTTAATCACATAGTGAAATATCGATATCAAATATCACATCAGTATTGGTATCACATAGTGAAATATTGGTATCAAATGCATTGCTAAAATCACAAAAAAAAAACAAGTACAGACTTGCTCATGAGGTCTCTGATAGCAGTATCTAGTCTTGTCACCTGGTCAACAGCAAATAGGCGAGGTCAAAAGCCTCCCTGGCTGGCCCTAAAAGAGTGGTTTTGCTCAAGGAAGAAATTTAGTTGTCCATTTACCAGCCTCTCCATCAGCTTGGCTACACAGGACAACAGGGATATGGGACGGTAGGAGTTTGTAGAGGTTAAAGCCTTGTTGGGCTTAGAGATGGGTATGATTAGTGCTGTCTTCCACTCATGTGGGACTGTTCCTGAAGTGAAGCTTTCATTGAACAGTTTCAGCAACCATGATTTATATTCAGGAGGGAGAAGAGAAAGGTGTTTGTTGTGTACACGGTCCAGACCTGGGGTGGAATTTTTAAGGGAGGTCAGACAAGTTTCTAGCTCATACAATGTAAATGGAGCATTGAGGGGAGTTTGAAGGTCAGTACTCAAAGCAAGAGCCAGGGGAAGGACAACAAAATTAGGATAAGGAGTTGGAGTTGGGGAGGAGAGAACCTGCTCAAAATGATCTGCCAGGGCAGCCACCTTGGAAACAGGGTCAGAAAGGATCAAATTAGGCATCAGAAATGGTTGTGATTTGCAAGTGAAAGGATATGGTAATTTCCTTACCCAATTCCACAGTATGGCAGTTGGAGTGTCAGAAGTTATAGTGTTGCAGAAACTTTTCTATGAGGCCTTCTTTGCCTTTCTCACCTCCCACCTGACTCTGGCCTGACAACACTTAAAGTTAATAAGATTTACCTGCGATGGCTGAGAAATGAGTAGTCTCTTTGCTGCTCTACTTGACCAAACAGCATCACCATAGGCCTGCATCCACCAAACCTTATTGTACTTGGGTGTGACATATTCTTTACTTTGTGGGAATGCCCTGGTGCTAGCAGAGACTATATTTCTTGCAAGTTTCTGAGCGGCTTCAGCAAGTTGAAAGAGACGTCAGTGCTAGCCTGGGGCAGGGCAGAGTACAAAGCTGCCCAGGATCCAGCATCAAATAGCCAATCAGGTCGGCGCCTGAACTGAGTGGAGGTAGGCTCCACTCCAACAGAGGTGATGACAGGATAGTGATTGCTGCCCATGTCAAGAGCCGGTAGAGATGGAGGAAATTGGCTGCAGATTTTGTTGAAATTATGGTCAGATAAAGGGTGGAGAAGGAGTTGAGGTAGATGATAAAATATGTGGGAAGGTCTGGAGGTGTGAGCAGAGCCAGCATTGGACACTGGAACAAGAGGTCCATCAAATTCCTACCAGTAGTGTTTAGTGCCTTTGTTGACTCCCACAAAGGGTGATGAGCATTGAAATCTCCTATGACAATGGCTGAAGGCCCCCAGTTGTTGAAAATAATGCAGAAGATAGTGAAGATAAGAGTGATTGGTTGGTTAGGGTTATAAATATTCAGGATGGAAAGAGAGGAATTGTTCTTCAGAAAGACCTTTATGCCTTGGACTTCCAGGGCACCCCCAGGGAAAGGTTGAATAGTCAACTCAAGGAAAGAGATGTCACTACAAATCAGAACAGCTAATCCTCCACCTCCCTGACCACCCTCTTGGTGTCTAAAAACTGCAGAGTAGTTTATAAAGTGAGGTTCTGTATTCTGTGTCAGCCAGGTTTCACTCAAACAAGCAACTTGAGGTTTGGTTGAGTATAAGTGCAGTTTAAAGTTGCTAAGTTTGTTCTCTAAACTATGGGGAGGCATGTACAATTTTTACTTCCTTTTGGGGAGGCATTTGGAATTTTCAACCTGCACTGCTGAGCCTTTACATGTTCCACCACCATCCTTGTTGGAATTAGGATCAGTTTTACCTTCATAAGGTGTTGGCTCAGGTTTTTTCACAGCCCTGTGCTTGCCACACACACCTTGACCCCCAATGATAGGGGATGGCTGCATATTCTGAGTGTTGGCATCCAGAGATGAGGCCAGGGATGCATTCTTAAGACTGGGATTACTATCAAGATGTAAAGTTGGTTGCTTAGTTATCTTTCCACCCAGAGTAGGAGGAGGTTGTGTTTTGCTTGAATGCTTAGCTTTGTTCAGCAGGTACTGGCCACCAATTATTGGTGATGGTTCTATTTCAGTTTCCATCATTACCAGTTCTGTCTCAATGGGTTCAGGTTCATGCAGTGATGCAGCATGTGGTTTTGGTGATGGTTTGATTGGGAGTTGTGCATTGTCTGTAGTGATGGTGGACTGCTCAGGAGCTTTGAAAATGTCTTCTGCAATTTTAGTAACTGTCTCAACAATATTGATGTTTGCTATGTTGTCACAAAGGCACAAAACTCTTGAGAGTAGCTCAACCAGTTTGGTAACAGATACACTGCCCATATCAAAAGAGGATTCATTGCTTCCACAGGTTTGAGTGGCAACTGATTTTACCATGGTGTTCTGGCTTTTTGCAAACCTATTATGATTTTGAGAACTTTGCCCATTGGTGGGCTGCTGTGCTATCCAGGAATATTGAGAAGGCTGGGAAGATTGCTCTCAGTGGGTCACAGCTGATCTTTCTGGCTGAGACCTCTTGACCGCTTTAACTGCATCCCTGTAAGAAATTCTTTTTTCTATCCTTGTTTTCTCAACATGGGATTCAAACTTCATGTGTGGGCACCCTCCATAGCTTGCTGTGTGGGGACCTATGCACTCCACAGTTACAGCACTTAGGAGCTGAGCGACCAGAGGCAGTGCAATCTTTCACATTGTGGGGGCCACTACATCCCACACTTTGAGGTGGGCCTTTGCAATCCTTAGCATTATGGCCAAAATTCTGGCCAAAAATACTGCCATGGCTTGCTCGCAAAGGTTATAACCCTGAAGCGCTGATATCCCAGATTTACATAGGATGGCAGGATGCCCAATGGAAAACTGATCTTTAACAATGAGGTTTTGATTTTACCTTTTCTCTTAACTTGCCTTAAGTATCCTCTCAGCTGAGGTATTGGGATAGCCAGACCATGCCAGCTCAGACAATCAGGACAAGTTCTACCAGGAAGCTCAGCTCATGGTCAACTCAGCCATTTATCCAACTCTGGTTGATAAATGAGTACCTGGCTTGTCCAGGGTGTTGTGTAATGCAATCAAATGGTTCTGGTGGGTCAGTGAGCCAGTGATGGTTGTAGAACTACCAGTGGTACCGAGTGCCCAGAAAAACTGACCTATCACCCCCTCTCCCTAGTTGCCACTGCCCGGATGGGCAATTACAACAACAACATGCCAGCTCAGAGGCCAGCTGAGCAGCTCTGCATCTGAAATATCCCCACCTAGTGGCCCAATCAGCCCTCCCCAACAGAGCAAGTCTGATTTAGATTTTAGAGAAAGGCAGCACCTCACGTTCCAAGAGCCTATTTTTGTGAGGACAGAAGTTCAGTCATACCTGCTACAGGACTGTCAAGAAACACAATGAGGAGATTCCAAGCAATGTTCTTCCTGATTTGCTTAATTCCTGCTGAGCCAAAAGGAGATGTTGCCAAGGCTTTACTGAGTGAAAGGTCATTGCCAAAGAACTTTGAGGTGGGACTTTCATGGTTTCATCAGCTAGCAGCTCTACCAAAATTACCACATTGTATTGACTTTCAGTAATCCAGAAATAAGGCCAGAAACAATTTCAGATTCTGCATCAGAGACCTCTAAGGACTCAGTAAGGAGAGCTCAAGATCTTAGTTAAGACGTTGACTACGCATTGGTACATATGCGTACCACGAAATGTATTTCTCCAGGAGGTAGTGGTACATAATTCAGGTTGCCTAAAATTGGCCAAATCTGAGAACAAAAAAGGCCAAAAAAGGCCAATAATTCAATGTATACTAGTTTATTTTTAGGTTCCACTATAAAAATTCCATTTATTTTCTTTTTGCAGTATTTAAAATTCAATTAGGAAGTACCCCTATTATAAATTTTAGCCGGCCAACGCAATTGAGAAAAACTAAATCATGGAATTTGTCAGGAAAAAATGACCATCTGGCAACCCTGTTTAAAAAAAGTACAAAAAATGAAATGATAGTACAAGATGAAGCAATCATAGTCAACGTGTTAAGTTGGTTTCATTGAAATCCTTCAAAGTTGGTACCTGTTTCTTTTTTGATTGTCTGCCTGCATCAATAGCAAAATTGCCCGATCTGCCTTCAATCTCAGGAGAACATCCCCACTATCTGACTATCTCCAGCCTGGTGCTGTGCTGCTGGCATAGAAGACAGAGAAAGTGGACTATCTGGTATCTACCAATCCAAAAATATGTCCATTTTTATCAAGTCTCAGAGGTGGAAGCTGAAAGTTTTGAATTACTGACTGACTGGTGATAGGGCAGAGTGCATTAGTTTGTTTTGTTGTTTTGGTGGTTGTGGGGCTAATGCAGATTTAACATCTGATGAGCTTAGAGACCACGCACCTGCACTGGAGCTAACTTCTTTCTTTCTTATTTATTCTTATAGGAGCACTGGAAACTAGTCCATATAGCCACTTGCCTAAAATGAGTTTAAACTGTTTTAACAGCTCTGAAAATGAAAACCTGAAACAAAGAGAAAACACACACATGGAAAAAAGAAAAAACAAATAACAATAAAATAATAATAATAATATTTTAATAAATAACTAAATAAAATAAAATGATGCAAAAATTAAATGTAGACAAATAATAAGGATAAAAGCAGTGAATGAAATGAATATTAGAGTAAATAACAGAAACAAAGAAAATTAAAAAAAATATATGTAAATAAAAAAAATAGTGATAAAATAAATTAGAAAAAAAAATAAAAATAAAAAATAATAAATAAAAAGAACAAATAAA